GAAATAAAAACAGGCGAGGATGAAGATGAGGAAGATAATGATGCTTTATTAAAGGAAAACAATGAAAGTAAGATATGCATGTTCTCCATGTTTGCAGTAGCTCTCTTGCTGTGTGTTGTAGAAGCTGTTTTAACAGTCAGCGCTTCTGACTTAACCAGCATTCATACCACAAAGCGCAGCCTTCCCAGGGCATGGGATACCCATAGCAACCTCTGGGTCTCATGGCCTGCAGTGCTGAAAGCATCTGACTAGTTGAAGTTGGATTAGCCTTTTAATCTGGAGCCTCTTCCACCTTTTCTGCTACATGGTGGTGTTTACAGTGTTAGTAGGTGTATATAGCTAAAATGCCAGCATTGCTGTGTAAAAACCTACCTTGAGTGTTCCATGACCTGCTTCCTTGTTCTTTCTGCCCTTTAATTGCCACAGATAAGTGCCTCTCTCCAGCCCTACTGGAGTGGGTGGTTATGGAGCTTTCAGTAATGGATATATTCCAACTCTGAGATTTTTACGTCCTCTTCATTTAAAATAACTTAAAGGCAAAAGCTGCTCTGTTAGAAGAGCAGCCTTCCTGACAAACTTCATCTCTTGTTCATTCCTCTCCATAAACCACTCCTTCCATTTTGTCTCTTGCCTGTAACCCTGGTACGTTGTACTCCTGTAAGTGTCCTTCACTGTCTCCTGTGTCTGTGGATTTGCCTCCCTCCATCCTCACTCCTGCCTTCATCTCACAGCACATTCTCTCTTGTGTGTTACATCTCTCTGTGCCAGCTCTTGTATCCAGCATGGGCAGGTAGGATATGCAGAGCAGGGAAGCCACACTCTGTCCACCACTGTCAATTTTGCTGAAAGATTTTTTCTGTGAGTGACAAAGCCTCCCATGGGCCTTTGTGAATCTCTGTTCTGTCTCCCTTTTTCATCCAGCAGCTGGCCTTTTCCACAGTCTTCTTGACAATAGCGGGGAAGTTTCCAACTCTTCAGCATAACGCTGCCTAAGCAAACAAACCGCACAGCTTTACTGCATGGAACTTGCATCTTTCTTTAAACCTTGCCATAAAGCAAATGGATGGCAAAGCTGTGGTCCTCTGTGCTTAGAAATAAGGGAAGCGAGCAGAGTGCTTCTGTTGTTTTGTTGTGATCTTCCATTCCTTCTCCTTGATGCAGTGAGGTTTAGTTCAGATAAATGGCACTGGAGAGAGCTGAAACTTCCACTCCACGCCAGCTGGCTCTTCGGGTTGGGATTAACTTAAATGCAATTAACTAATTCAGCCTTGAGGGCTTCTTCTTTTAAGGTGTGAAGCAAACATAGGTGGTAAGCCATAGGTTGTAGACCTAAGCTATAAATGTGAAAACCCCCCTGTGTAATCACTGCAGCACTTGGCTGTTCAGCAGAGCACAGTATTCCATGGTTTTATCTACATGCCAGAATGACAGAGAATTCCTTAAAAGTACTGACTGTGTATTAAAGGTACTACTGTCCTGTTCACAGTCTTGCTGTTAACAAGAGCATGAGGCTTCAGTAACAGTTAAAGGGAAGCAAACTGTTCTTACCTGGGTTCGCACTGAGCAAAGTGACTGAAAGAAGTCTGAGAGACAATTAAATGTTAAAGATCACTCTGTATTTTAATATTATAGTTGACTCATGTATTGAAACTTGCAGGCTGCCTATCAGAATCCTGGTTTTCATTTGGAGGAGGTGGTTCTGATCTACATAAGGCTTTAGAAATTCTCTCTTAATCAAATGGGAGATAACATAAACCCCCAAATATTCTTTGTCACAGGCAATAAGGAATGTTCCTTTTGAAACCCAGGTAATACAGCTGTAAAAATCCATCTGTTCTCAGAGCCCATGAGTAGTTTTAACAGCTGAAGGAAAGGTGTAAGTCATCTGTTTGTTAGTAAGTAAATAGGGGATTTAAACCAGGGCAGATAGGGAAGATGAATTTGCAGTATCTGGAGCCATTCCCTGTCTCTCACTGATTCTTTCTCTTGTTTCCCCAGGTCCAGATGTGCAGCGGGACAAAGCCATGACGGGCGACCAGATCGAGGCAGTTGCGAACAGGCTTGGGGAGCAGTGGAAGACCCTGGCCCCCTACTTGGAAATGAAAGATGCTGACATCCGGCAGATTGAGTCAGACAGTGAGGACATGAAGATGAGAGCCAAGCAGCTGCTGGTCGCCTGGCAGGACCAGGAGGGTGCCCATGCCACCCCTGAGAACCTGCTTCTGGCACTGAACAAAGCTGGGTTAGGTGACCTTGCAGAAAGCCTGAGCAACGACACCGAGAGTGGCAGCTAACTCATTCCAGCTGCTGCTCAACCCTGTTTGGTTTGGGGGGGGTGTTACTTGTTATGGTGGTTGTCATTATCATCAATTGTGACTGTTTCGGTTAATGGTTCCTGTTGTTGCTAGGTAACAGATTTTTAACAGGCATCTGATGGTCAGTAAAAGATAAAACTTTTTAATAATGTGTTGAGTTGTGCAGACTTGCTGAGAGAAGGGTTAGTCACCCCGGTGCGGGAATAAGAAGCTTCATCTTGGCTGGTGGAAGGGTGAAAGGGAGGGTGGGAAGTCAGGCAGCTTTCTGTGCAGCCATCAGCAAAGCTTGGGTCGCTCCAGCTGGATAGAGCAATTGATGGTCCCTGTGACCACTGTCCCCGTGCAGTTTCTCAGAGCATGGACCTGTGAGCCAGCATTTTGGGGTGGTCGATGCTGTAGACCATCAAAGTGTACCTGCTTGTGAGTGATTCAACCTTGAGAAAACAAGGTGGTGGGGGAGACTCGAGTCACAGTGTGCACTTCCTGTGAAGCACCAGTGTCCTTAGCAGGGTGCATGTTCAACCTGCTTCCTTTCTGAAGGACTGGTTCTTTCTGGACCTTGATGGTTGATAATGGGGGGGTTTCCATGCTTGTGTGCATTAGCAGTTACTAACTTCAGTCTCTGGATGTGTTTGGCTGTGTAGGAACTCCTCCAGTACTTTCTTTGTCCCAGTTCACTGTGAAGTGACAATGGGTTCCATTTTAAGGATATGGCTACCTGTTTATGGGTACAAGCTGTTGTTGTAGCTGGATCTGTTTTCCCTCAAAAAGCAGGAGGTTTTTATGGTGCTAAGCAGTAGCTAGCTACAACTTGGGTCGTGGCTGCTGCTTGTAGAATTTGTGTCATTCAGTGAAATCTCTCCAATTGCCAAGTGTGTGGAAAACTACATATCCCAGAACTTTTCCCCCTATAGTATTGTTTCAGTTATTAAATGATACCTGTGAATTGCTGGGGTGGTTGGCTACTGGCTGGGAGGCAAGTTCCTGACTGCAGAGCCATTGAGGAGAACTTTGTGCCTGCTCCCCCCACTTTGGATGTATTAGGAATTTGATTATTGGGTACAGAAGTGGAAGTTGGAACAGGCTGATAGATGGGACATTGTTGGAAACTACTGAGCTGTGGTGAGACCCCAGCTGGAGTACTGAGTTCAGCTCTGGGGCCCCCAGAGGTATGTGGACCTGTTGTGAGTCTAGGAAATAACACAGCCCAAGTCTTGCCTCCCGCTACAGGTAGGGTTTGGTAGAAGGTACAGACTGGAACATTTCAATTAAGGGACTTGACCTTAGACTGAGGTGCATGGGGAATGACTAATGGCGCTTGGGCATGGCAACCTGCCACCTTGATCTTGGAAAGCTGCGGCTGGGGATGACCACCACAGTGAGCATGACTGCAGGAAGCCATGTGCAGCGAGTTACATTCTTGATGCTTCAGGCATGAGCCACCACCTTGGTGCTCACAGTCGAGGCAAGAGACCTGGGCACTGAGCTGTCCCCCTGGTTTAGCTTTGTTCAAGGCCAGGCTGGATAAGGCTTTGAGCAGCCTGGTCTAGTGAGAGGTGTCCCTGGCCATAGCAGGGGGTTGTTTTGCGCAGAAGGCTCGCTCGAGCTGCCAACAGGAACTTTAAGAGACAACAGTGACCACAGGACCACAACTAGGACATAGTTCCACAAATCAGCAACCGGGCACGATTCCCTTAGCTCCTTAACAGGAACCAGAAGCAGCATTATAAACAGATGTGTCCGTGCCATTTCTGTGGGGAACAGAGGAACAGGCCATACTGCAATGGGGCTTCCTCAGTGTCTGGAGCTGCCTTTAAGCATCATGCAACTTCTTTAAAATCCACCCTTAGGCTTTTGGTGCGCTCCTGGGGCATCTGTGCAGTGGTGAACACAGTGCAAGAACCAAAACCACCTGGGGAGCCATGGCTGGTGCCATGTCCCCAGGGGAGGGTGAAAGCTGGGTGCTTTCTCAGCAAGGAACTCCCCATGCTGTCACTGCTAATGCACATACAAGTGAAGGTATTTCATGTGAGTATGGACTGGCTCACCCACAAGGGTCTGGGACACATTAAAAATCAGATCCTCAGTTGCTGGCCTAGTGCTTTTCTGGCTCTGGCCAACACTGAAATGTTTTTTAACTGCAATCTCCCACTAGCCTACAGCTGCTGCATTCCTATGCAGTAACTGCAGCAGTTACTCTAAGTAAGCATAGCCCAAGTTAGCCACCAAACTAAACTACTTAGCAAAGAATTATAGAATCAACTAGGCTGGAAAAGACCTTCAAGCCCAAACCTTACTCCCCAGGACTGCCAGGTCCACCACTAAACCATGTTACTGAAGGAGTCATCTCATCTTACTTCCAGGGAGAGTGATCCCACCACTTCCCTGGGCAGCCTGTTCTAATACCAAATCACCCTTCTGATGAAGAAATTTTAATTCCTATCCAGTCTAAACCTCCACTGACACAGCTTGAGGCCATTACCTTTTGTCCTGTTACTCGGGAAAAGAGACCAGCCACCTCCTCACTGTGTCCTCATTTTAAATAGCTGTAGAGAGCAGTGAGAGCCAAAGGACAGGAGACAAATCCTACAGCTTAAACACCAGTGGCTTTATCACAAGGCTACTTCCAGACATGCATCAGTGGTGGCCTAGGGAGTGAAAACAAACACATACTGACTATATCAGTAAGACATGAACTTTTTTTAATGGAGGACACATTGATCACAATTGATTTTGAAGTCATCAGGTGCCAGCAACAGAACAGACTGAATCAGAACGTCAGGCTGGACAATACTTGATTGGAGCCATGGTTGTTGGCTATGGGCAGCAGCACTGAGTTACACAACAAGGCAACAGTTGCTCTTCTACCTTCCTAACAACCATGCCAGGTAAGGCAGAGGATGGACAACTTCTGAACTGTGGCAGAAACCATGCAAGAGTAACAAACGCGAGAGTAGGTGTGTAATAAATACTTGATGACATCAGAGAGGAAGGGGCAGGGGGGAAGAAGAGGCTCATTTAAAAAGTTTCTCTTCTGCAAGATGTTAAAGCTATTTTAAAAATTGTCACCACCCCAGGGGCAAGCCCAGTCCAGTCCAGCGGCAGCAAATTGGTACTTGGAGCAGTTTTGAACCCATACCCTTCTTCATGTGAGAAGGTTTGAACAGATTACTTATCCACTTGCTAAAAGCTCTGGGGTTAAAGAAGTGATCAGTTATCAACATTTATTTCACACCTAGGCAGAATGGCTAAAACTGAAGACTACTGGTCAGCTTCATCTTCAACTACTTCGATTCTGCGAGGCCCGTAGAGTAGAACATAAGCTATATGCCAGTCTCCACCCCCGGATAACCTCAAAATATCTTCAGGTGTAACAATGCTGACTTTGTCATCATCAAATTTAATCCATTCATCTGCAAGAAAAGAGAGAGGATTATTTGTAATGTAAGTACATCAAATCTAAGCACACTTAACAAGTCTGAAGGGCAACTGAGAGAGCTGTGAGTTGTCGAGGTGTTTTACCTTGTTTCCTTTTAACCCAAGACACATAATGCCCAGAGGAACTTGATCTGCCTTGATGTGTTAGCACTGCCTGCAGGTCGTAATAGCCGCAGTTATTAGAACCAATATCTGAAGGAAGAGGAGGAAAAACAAGTTACGTGAGTCGTACATGAACCGTTTTATGTTTTAACAGCATGCAGACTGAAGACACACAAGCCAAACTGCAGCACCGCAGCTGTGTAAAGCCCCACTTACAGCATGGTTCTCAATCACTGAACTAAACCCAGCAGCTTTCAGCCAGGACAGCCTCTCAGGAAACTGAGACATAAATACAGATCCTGGACGGAATGCAAATGCGGTAACCTTAAATCAAACCCATCAGTAAGCTTTCTGGACATATACTTCCTTCAAACACCAACCACTCACAAGGAAGCACCCAAAATTGCACATGCCGGGCTGGATGGGGCTTTGAGCAACCTGGTCTAGTGGCAGATGTCCCTGCCCATGGCAGGGGGTTGGAACTGGATAATCTTTAAGGTCCTTTCCAACCAAAACCATTCTATTATTCTATGCTATAATTCTAGGACATGCAAATATCTTTTGATGTGCATATCATTCATTGATGATGCATAGAAGATATGTCTTTGACCATCTCAAGAGCATTTTAGCTTGCCTCATCTTTCCAGTCCTTAATTTTCTGTCAGTTTCTGAAGATTAATTTTCAAAAGTGTTAAAAATAACCAGGGTTCTAAAAATATTCCTACCATTGGGTCCACTTACACATAAGTAAATAGAAAGTTACTTTAAAACAGATTTATTTCCTTGTACTCACCATCGGGAAAAGAAAATGGTTCATATTTAACTTCTTTCTGTGCACCTTCGCTTTTACTAGACTGAAGAACAGAATATACTGAATTAATATGGAACAGTTGTGAAAAAGCTTTAGTGCAACCCTATCAAATCCCAACCCCCCATTCATTTAAAGATGGTTTTAAGCCTAAACATTTTCTGTTCAACTTGAAACCAAGTTCCATTACCATACTTCTGAGTGGACATGCAAAAGCCTCATCTAAACCAGACCACTTTTTACTGCAAATATAACACTGCTTTAGCACCTTTTGCCTAGACTGTTTACCCACCAGACTGACAGTTTTGTTTATAAAACAATTCTGCAATTGAAGACTGTATTCCTTATTAGGGACTTCCTAGCAGCACAAATGGCAACAAGAAAACACTAGAAACAGACTCTTAATAGCACTCTTTCCTTGTTCCTAACTGTGTAGAGATGTGAGCCTCATTCAAATGTTTAAATGAAACTGGCAAGAGTTAGGCCAGGAAAAGACTGGCAAACTTAAAAACAATGGCTAAAACATTACAGTTTTAGCTTGTTTACCTTTTTCCTTCATTAAAGGAAATGGTTTCTTTATTTCAAGGGAAGCCAGTTTTAGAATATGTAGACAGAATAGAAAATGAAACCATTTACCATGGTTTTAGAATGCAGACTATAAGCTCATATATTCTAAATTTATGTAAGTACATATATTCTAAATTTTATCAGTCAGACACATCGTAGAACCTTGTACAACCCTTTCCACTTGGTGAGGAGAAAGCTACCTGTCATGGAAGAAGTGACCTGCCAGCAAGCAGCCATGTTTGAAGAGAACCATTCTGTGTAATTCACAGCAAACCTTTAGCCATAACACTGGTAAGCAGAAGCACGACATTTTCGTAAGTTTTGAAATAAAAATGGAAGCAATATAATTTTCTACAGCATTTAACATTTCTGGTGAAGCAGTCATACCAAAGCTGACAGGGTATTTTCCACGAAAATACACAAAAAGATCTGAAGCTCAATACCAAAGAGTTCAAATGCTACATTTCAGGAAGTCAAGTTTTCTCTAGTCCTTATGAGTGCCCCAATTCCAGCTGTATGACTTCTTTAATCAAAATGTCAGGAGACTTACATTCTTTGGCTGTTGATTGACTTTTTTGTCTTCTAGATCTTTGAATTTTGATCGATAAGAAACCATTTTTTCCTGAAGGTCTGGTGTACACAGCTCATACACATCCAACATAAGAGGGAATTTAACATCCTAGGAAGTAAAAAGCAGAAAGATTATTAACATTACTTGGTACTCCATGTTAAAGCCATCTCCTATAGGAAGACAATACTAAGTCCAATTAGATACAACTCTCATCACATTTATGAGAACTTGATCCACTGAAATGTGGCTGACAGGACTTATGTAAAGGGCTACAATACTTTTACGGAAGAATGTCTAATTCAGTATAAATAAACCATCATAGATCCTTTATTATTAGTTGTCATACTTTACACTACAGAAATACCTACACAACCCTAAGGCAAAAGATATGCATGCAGAATGTCTGTACACTGGCAAAAATGTTAATTTATGTTATCCAAACAATCTTCTAGAATAGTTAATGTGTGCCTTCAATCTTCATTCCCTTGTTTCTCTTGTGAAGAGCAGGCATCATCTATCATGATATGCTGGGGCAGCTGAGGAAGTCTATCAGCCAAGTCCAACAGAAAGCAATACTGGAACATGTAGCTGTTGGCAGCTGGTTCTTGCATTTGTCAGTCAGAAGGCCCATTAAAATAATTAGTACAGGAAGCGTTTGTTAGCTAAAGCATTTCTCATCAACCCTAGAACACTGTCTAGTGACTGAAAGCATGTCCCTCTCCTTAACCAAACATTCTCCTCCGAGTCATTGGTGAGAAGAGACCAAAAAACATCCTAGCAGTATTGGAGCAAATTCATTTATGTCCCTTACCTCCCTTTCCCCAGCCTATTTTGGTAGCACAGTTTGCCACACCACTGGGACCATCACAGCTGGGAACAAAGCTACCTTGTACTTCAGCAAAGAAACTGCACTGTCAATATTTTTAAATGCAACTTAAAAGCAAACACTTGAATAAATAGCCTTCAAGTATTAGCTGTCTACCTACAATAAAAACCTCACTGAAAAGCATGAAGAGGAATTCAAGTTCAATATGCACAAAACTTACCTTAAGAACTTTGGCATTCACAGATTCTTTCTCTTTGTAAAAAAATCTAACCATCTGAATAGTCAGGTAGGCTGGCAAGCGACTGATTTTAGACTATAAGGAAAAAAGAAAAAGCTATTACTTTAGACATTGACAGAACTTTTAAACACTGCAAATCCTAAATCACAGGCTATCCTGTACACACACACACAGGAATGTAGCAAGGCCTCCTAATTTAAAACTTTGTATAGTAGTGTAGTCAAAGAAATAATTTCCAGTTTTAAATTTTTTGGTAGTGGATATTCAGATGTTCTATAAACGTAAATCACACTCTGTTACAGCAGTAACTTTGTGTTTTGGGACAGAAGATTGACAACAGTTGAAAGAATGACGAAGAGAGCAACAAAAGTACCACTCACAGATTTGATATACAGTGCATTTCTCTGCAGTGTTGGAGACAGTTTGGTGATTTCCTCTTGAAGACGCTGTTAAAAGAAAGGTAATAACACCTATGTTAATCATAAAACACAGCTTGAAGCAAAGCACAGCACAGACTAAGCTAAATCAGGTTCTGCCCATCTCCTTTGTTCCTATCAGCCATTACAACAGGCAGAATTTTGAAACTCCTTGGCAGAAAGAGCAAGCCCATTCATTTGTTCAGCTCCAGGCTCATTCCTGTGCCCTGACAGCACAAAGTTTTTCTCTGCAGAAAATTAAATTCTGCAGGAGTAGAACTTGCATTTGGTTAGGAATTGTATCTGGATTTGGTTATGAATGTGTCATGTCATGCTTGGAACACAACTAAAAGCAAATCTGAGGTTTCCTCTCAGGGGAATATTTGCATGTTTCCCAAACCTCAGTTTTGAGCAGACAGAGCTACAGAAGAGACAGGTGGTGCTACCGTGTTTCCAGGGACCTTTCCTAATTTAGGGCAAGACTGGGCTGGTTGGTAGTATTGTTTCTACAGGCAACCCAACATAAGAATTCTAGACCTTTCTTGGCCTGAAAGCGAGGTTACTTTTTTTCTTATAACAATAATCTATGTGATGATTATTTTATTTGTGAACATTAACTAGTTTATCTTACTTTTCCTTCTAGAGTCTGTCGAAAAAAGAAAAAGCAGATACAAAGATTATCTGAGAAGCATGCAACTTGGTTTAGCCACTGCTTCCATCCCTGCTCTTATACAAATACTCTGCAAGAACAGTTACTATAGAGGTTTAGTGGTAGGCTTCTCTCCTGGCTCTTTCAGGTTCCAAAACCCCCAAAAAACTTAGAAATACGCATCTAAAAAGCATGGACTACTTGAAAAACTTCTGCTTACATAAACAGTTTAAAGATGATGCTATGTCATGGAAAATAACACCCCCTTCAAAATCTGCAAAATTAAAGTTCACTTGTTCCACCACCTGGATGTAACCAAATGGCACCAAAATGGCAACCAAAATGCCATCCTATTTTAAAATTGACTTCTAGGGAACTGTTTACAGCATGCTTAAATCATGATCAGAGGGCTGGAGCACCTCTCCTGTGAAGACAAGCTGAGAGAGTCGACGTTCTGCCTGGAGAAGAGATGGCTCCGGTGAGACTTTAGAGCATCTTCCAGTGCCTAAAGGGGGCCCTGTCATGGTTTAAACCCAGTCAGGTAATTCGTTCACTCACCTCCCCCCCCTTTCTTGCCCTCCCCCTGCTCTCGGAGGGACGGAGAGGAGAATCAAAAGAATGCAACTCCCACGGGTTGAGATAAGAACAGTTTAGTAACTAAGGTATAACACAGATCACTACTGCTACCACCAATAATAACAATGATAAAGGAAATAACAAGGGAAGAGAATACAACACCTCACCACCCGCTGACCGATAACTCGCCCCCCAAGCCCGACCAAGCTCCGACCGATACCTCCTCCAACCCTGCAGTCTCCCAGCCCTTCCGGCTAACTCCCAGTTACATCCTGGGCATGACGTGCTGTGGTATGGAATACCTCTTTGGTCAGTTTGGGTCAGGTGTCCTGTCTCTGCTTCCTCACAGCTTCCCCTCCTCCCTGGCAGAGCATGAGGCTCACAAAGTCCTTGGCCAAACCAAAACATCTCTATCAGCTCTGTTCCCGAGCCGAAAGTCAAAACACTGCACTGCACCAGCTACCAAGGAGGAGAAACATAACTGCTACTGCTGAACCCAGGACAGGCCCACAAGAAATGTGGAGAGGGACTTTTTACCAGTGCAGGTAGTGACAGGACAAGGGGGAATGGCTTTAAACTGCCAGAGGGGAGATTTAGATTAAATATAAGGAAAAAATTCTTCACTGTGAGGGTGGTGAAACACTGGAACAGGTTTCCCAGAGAAGTGGTAACAGCTCCATCCCTGGCAGTGTTTGAGACCACCTGAGCAACCTGGTCTAGTGGAAGGTGTCTCTGCCCATGGCAGGGGGTTGGAACTAAACGATCCTTAAAAGTGCCTTCCAGCCCAAACCATTCTGTGATACTGTTCAGTCTGGAGTGAAACCCAGCTGAACAAGCAAATTGGCTGGCACTTGGTGACCTGCATGTGGAAGACAATGTCAGGGTCAAGAAAACACTCTGCTGAAGTCTGCTTTTACACTAACATACAGTTTGTTTTCACTGCCACCTTCCCACTGAATACCAAAAAAACAAACTGGAATTTTGGAATTGATACCTGCTGTCCAAGCTTTACAAGTCACAGATTAAAAACACAGGTAATTTAGAATTTCAGTAAAATAAATGTTACATAAATAACTTACCAATTTTAGTCCTGTAAACAGATATTTGACTTCTTGATTAATAAAGCAGCTGAGCTGAAGCAGATTCTCCTTTCCTTTAGTTACTTCCTCTTCTTCAGCTTCTGTACATTTCATACTTCACAAAATTAAGGAAAACCATGGTGCATCAAGAGCTGAACTACTGCTCTAGTGAAAACATGTTGAACAGCACGGTAACTTAAACTAATCCTCTGCTTGTGCATTAATAGTACTTTTACTTCTCATAGGATAAAAAAAACCCACCAGATTTGAAACAGCCCCTTCATTCTAACCAATCTACTCCTTCATGTGTAATGACCAGTGACGGTCAGTAACAAGCTGTGAAATACAGTACTCATCTAACAGGATGTTTCCATATTTCAGACAAGCAAAATAAGACAGTATAATCCTTTCTAAAAGGTGGTGGTCAGTTTCATGACAACCAGGACTGTGGGGTGGAGAAGTGGGAAAAGAGTAATACTTGGCATGAGGTGTGTGCCCCATGTGGTCATATACTTTTTGTCCTTGCTATAAAAAAGCTACTAGGAAGTTGTCAGCTGCAATAGTTCCTTATACATCTAACAGTGTGCATCAAATTTATTTCTTAAGAAATCAGTCAAGCTATCTTTTGTACCTGTGCAGTATGCCAAGTGTACCAGCAACACTCCCTTACAAGCCACAGAAAAGCCATTTAGGATGATAATTACTTTTATTTGGATAAAACATGTCAGTATCTTTGAACTGGCAACCTTCTCCAGGGAGGAGATCTGGTATTTAATTAGGTGGGTTTCTTATGCAACTTTTCATTACCATTCTTCCTCCCCACATCCTCCTCTCTCTCAATCCAATCTTATTTTTAACTTCTGTGTACTCCTCTAAAACATCACTCCCTCTCTTCCCCAACACACACCTTGGTTTTCTATACTATTCTGAACAATGCTTTCAGGCTCCCCACACTCTACTGCTAAAGTGTGAAATTATTATCATTCTATCGCTTGCCTTAGTCTTTAGGATACGCTGTTTCAAATTCAATGCTGAAGAACTGATCAATTAAACTCTTCTTTTTAGAAGATGCTGCTGTAGCTCCGGAGTCTGTCTGCAAAACAAATTCTCTTATGATTTAAGTGTCATGTAAAGACAGTATTCTTCACAGACAAAATATCTCATTTATTTTAATTCTTTAAAGCCTATTCCTTCACCTTTCTTTAGGTGCATTTTCCCTAGTCAATCTCCTGACACAGCACTAGAGTTCCAAGCCAAAAGCATTTACTGCATGCTGTTAAAGCCACCTCAAAGCATATTAGCAAATAAGATTTGAATCAAAATCAAACTTCCCTGCTCCCCAACTTAAATCAGTCTTAAATTTTAGAGTAGTCAATTAGACTTTTCCCACTGCCAAGACTCTCCAGAAAATAGCTTATGGAGAAGAAAGTCAGTCTGGTAAAGCCTTGGGAAAAACTAACTTCTTATGAGGTTGCTTAGGCGAGTTGTCTGTTTGAAGCAGCATTCTTGCAGCCAACAGTGCTGAAGCACTTCTTCCAGGAAAAGAAACTTATGTGCCAAATTCACAGGTTTCCAGGGCCAGGTGCTACGCACTCACAGTCACCACGGTGGTACTTTCCAGAGCCCAGAGGAGAAGTATTCCTATAGTACGCTCTATAGCATAGCTGACATGACATAGGTAGCTTTATGCTGATGAGACATCAGAAAGCAGTTTCACTTACTGGCCTATAGATACATGTTAAACCCCTCACAAAATAGATAATCCTTACTGAAAATATATGCAAACCACAAGTATAATATTATAAATCCTAACTCCTTTTAGAGTAAGACTAAAATTACCTCCATAACTGTATCACCTTCTATGCCTTCCAGCTTCTGCTGTAGTACCCTCATCATCTGCACCCAGCACTCATTGGCATCCTAAGAAGGGAACAGAACATTAGATGTAACTGGTAAGAGTTATGATTTAGTAATATTAAATCCATCAATCTTCACACTAAAACAAACAAAGAATTCCTTACATTAAGAATTTCTCCCTATTCCACCATACATTTTCAGAGCCTGTGCTTAGTATCACAGTCAACTTAGTATCACAGTCAACTTTTAGTATCACAGTCAACTTTTAGTATCACAGTCAACTTTTAGTATCACAGTCAACTTTTAGTATCACAGTCAACTTTTAGTATCACAGTCAACTTTTAGTATCACAGTCAACTTTTAGTATCACAGTCAACTTTTAGTATCACAGTCAACTTTTAGTATCAACTTTTCTACACAATATAAAAGCAAACGCTTTACTGGGATAAATTACTTTCACAAGAGAAGGAAAGATTTCAAATATCCTTGCTCTCAACACACTAGAATTTTCAAACTATAAGCTAATAATTCGTCTTTACCTGTTGAAGGTACTGGCCTTGATCGCCTTTCTCTGCAAACTGTGGGAAGGCCATGTGTAAAAACTGCAGGAGAATGATAGGTGGGATACTGGAGGAAGTTTTATCCATGGAATCAAACAAGTCTCTAAGAGCTTGAAGAAAAAGTGAATGCTTTGAGAAGTGGAAAAACAATTCAAACATGGCAGAAAGTTGAAAAAGAATAGTAAAACAGCAGCAACACTTAAAGGCTTATCATTTAACAGTGTCCAGTTTGATCTTTCCAAACCAGGACCAAATTTTCCATGCGTCATAAGAGGTACACCCAAGACCTCATTTCTGAACATGACTTTGTAAGCATAAAGATAACAATTCTGAGAGTTTGGAACAAAAGACCTTATCTTTCCTGGCTGTTAACAGAAAAATAAAACTTGAGCAGTTAAGTTTTCATTTGAAATACATCTGAGGAACAATGTTTTCACAAGAGCACGACACCTAGAGAAACCAGAAGGCATTCACAATCTATCCTCTAAAGCAACTTCAGCTTCACCAACTACTGGGAAAAAAAAAAACCTTTACTTATTCCCAACTACAATATCTAGAAAATACTCATGCTTAATTTAAGCCCCAGGAAAACAAGTATGTGTATGCATACATGCAGACAGTTCGTAACTATGTTCAATGCAACAGATGCTACCGACTGCATGACAATACACGTGGCTTTCTTTTTTGTTCCAGATACAGTACTATAAAATGTCTTATCTACACAGGTTACAGCATCACTTGAGACATCTACTAATCCTCACAACAACCCTGTGAGGTTGGCAACAGTCTGCATGGTCACTAATTGACAAATGGAGAGACTAATGAATGATACTCTTGAATAAGTGCATAGACAAGATTACAAGATCAACTGCTTCCTCACTTTAAGAAATATCTGCACTGACCTTGATTAAGAGGGACAACTGATATGACAGCAATTTAGAAAAAAAAATGCCGTAAGTGTCATGCAGGAGTTCTTGACCAGCTCAGCACAAAAGAATTAACTATGAATTACTTCAACTATTAAGATTCCTAAAAAAGCAGAGCTGTCACCTTAAAGAGAAAACAAGGGACATGAAGTAAAGTCAGTGAAAAGGGGAGGGGCAGGTGTGGTTTGTATAGAGTAACCATTGAACTTACCACCCCAAAACTTGATCAGCAGGCATACCCACAAACTGGACCTTTCCTTCCTTATATTGTTTTGTTTTTCCTTAAATGGACTGGTAGAAATCCCAGTGTCCTGGCCCATCATCTTAGTGGGGCAATGAAATAGAGTAAAAAAAGAAAAAGTGGACAAGTAGTACCCTCGTTCAAATGTAAGGGGTCTAACTAGAATTCTAGTTAGAACTTGGAGATACAGGGCCATCGTGAGCTCCCACATTGTGAGCACCCAGATCACCACAATATAGAGCAAGTTTCCTTTTGAAGACACTACTTTCTATTTCAGTTATGAAATCTGGATCTTTTGGGTAATGACTAATACCACTTATAAAGCATCAGCTACCAACTTAATAATTAATGCTCAGCCAATAGATCTTATTAAAAAATACAAATGAACTACATGTTCTGGGAGTATGGTGTTAACCTATCATTAAGTGAAATGAAGAATTGTGCACTAGACTATTTCTACACAAAATGATCAAATCTGCAGATGGATGAAGTACGCTTTAGAAAGCTCCAATTACTTTATGCCTACACACAAAACACTTAAGAGACAGGAATGATTTCTGTCTAAGCCTAAATGACACTTGTACATATTTTCCCTAGTATGCAGCTAGGTAATAATATGCAGAGATGTATGCTTTGCAGCCACAGTCAGAATAACCTTTAAAGATATTAACAACAGAGCAAAAGGAATTCTCCAGTGTCAGCAGATCTGACATTGCTAAAGCATATGCACTAAAGAAAAACACGCAGAGCTCTAACTGCAATTTTCATCTGCAGTTTAGCAGGAAATTGCACACTAGCCTAAACCCTTGTGTTCTACTCTAAACACCAACCTGCAGTAATGTACTGAGCAGACGCCATTTCTCCTGAAGCTCTTAAGGCACCACCATACCTAAAAGAGAAGAAAAACAATTTGTATGCAATTAAACACAATCAAAAAGAGCAGAGAGGTTTTCAAATCATAAAGCAGGCAGCAGCTACATTTATTTGTGTCAAAAGAAAGGCTAGTTTGGATGGGGCTTTGAGAAACCTGGTCTAGTGGAAGGTGTCCCTACCCACGGCAGGGGGATTGAAACTGCATGATCTTTAAGATCCCTTCCAACCCAAACCATTTTGTGATTCTATAAATCACCAAACCAGAAATAACTGAAAATCAGATTTACTCACATTCACCTCAAAGTCTCAGCTATTCTGCAAGCAATGCATGAAAGCAAAGGAAAACTGGCATCCTTAGACAATAAATAAATGCAGACTGAGAAGTCTGGATACATTCCTGCTGCTTCCCAATCCATTTACCTCAAAAACTCCATCTTTAAAGAGACTAAGTAAAAGTCTGAATAGAAGCTACCCCTTTTCTGAAACATTTGCCACAGCTTCTTCAAATGCATGGAAAAAACACCTTCAAGGATGTGAGTACTTTCACTTCTCTCTCACTGCAATATACCCTTCCATGCTGTCATCAGGCAGGGAAGACCAAATAAAGTCTTAAGTCTCCAGGGGAAAACACAGCAGCTGTCTTTGAATCTGACTTCCCAGAGACAGTAAGGCCACATCTTGTATTGCAGTCTGCCAGTCTTATAGCATACATTCTGATATTTGGTATGTTAAATTTGTCAAACACTCTGATTCAGTGCAGTAACTCAGTCCTTTATATGGAAATAAAACAGACTTACCTAAAATGACAATACTGAAAACCAAGAAAAAGCTTTAAAACAGTGTTTCTGTACTTCACAAATAGTTCTAAGTGATAAATAATTAAGATTCACCTGCTAACAGAATTAAGGGAAATGCATACATATTTAAGTAACTAGTGTTTACAGTAACCTAGACTATCCAGTTGGGTACCAAGGTGTCAAGAAAGCAGTGTGTTTTAAAGAAGTTAACCTTAAGATGGCAATGCTCTACCTAATCTTCACATTCTTAAATACTGATGGTTTTTATCATACTAATAATTAAACAAATCAGGTTAAGTTATTCTGCATTCAGAATGAATGAAACAGATTCCATAAGGGCATGTCTTCTGTTCCCTACCCATCCACATGACAGTAACTCCATCTTAGCTTAGTTTGCTGCCACAGTAACCCCATGGTCCTCTCTCAGAGCTTTCTGTTGTACCTCCCAGTACCAAACATCAATAACGGCAGAATTTCATTGCACAATGTGTTTTCAGCATTAAAGCCACTGAAAAGAATATTCCTCAAAGGAACAGGACTCCTGTACAATCTTTTACACAGAACTAGCCATACAAACTAACATCAGAAAACAGGGTTAGGAGTTCAGTAGCTTCTCTAAGCAGTTTAAACAAGTCTTGATAGGAACTATTTTTTAACTAGGCAAAATACATTCTATCTACTAAAAGCCAGTTCCAATAAATACATATTCTTAAATTCTTTAAAAAGTTTAGACTAACACAGCCATAGGATACGAGTTCAATCTATCATGATGTTAACCTTGAATTGCTTTAAAGAATAACAGATTGCTATGAAAATTCGTACCAGTATTAAGACAACTGTTCTACAAAATATCTACTTCATAAGCTAAAGAAAACATTTTGGTTGTGGTATTTTTGTGCTGAATCCTACCTTTTAAGGGCCTCTTTCACTTCTGGCACTGAGCGGATACACTGAACCGTAGCATTCATGTAGCAAGTGTTGCCAAGGTTTGTCAATCCACATGGTAATTCCATCTACCAAAAAATTCACAAGGGTGTTTGAGGGTCACAGAGAGATGTGCAACCATTTTTGCATAAACACTATATAACTTGACATCAACTTCTATGAAAAGGAATGATCAGAGATGTGTAAAACCTGGAATATTCCATCGAACCTTATGAAGCTTTCCAGATCCATTTTCTGATTATATTAATCATTTCACCATTCGGTGCTTTTAGAGGACATTCAGGAATGCTTTGGGTTGTTTTTTTTTCTGTGCGTGTTTAGTTAAATGTCTTCAAGCAGGCAGTCATTCAGAAAGTTCAATTATAATCACACTCAAGTTTTGACCTTAAAGTTCTAGTTCCATGGAATTTCCACATGAATACACTTGTACAAAACACTGATGTTTTAATTAAAATCAGTTTTTGGTAAAACTCTCAATGTGCTGAACTACATAGTCAAAAACAAAAGCATTATTTAAGCTCCTTTCCAGAAGTTTGCAACAGATCATTAATTTGATCCTTCCAGGCAGCTTGTGAACTTCTAAAGTTTTGACAAATGCGAAGGCCAAGTAATAATTAAACTAACCAGTTTCAGAAACAACTATAAATCACAATATAATAGATTTTTAAATTTTCTTTAATCCTGCATCTTTGAGCAGTTGTCAGGGAAAAGCATGTAGTTTAATGAAACTGAAGTTGTGCTGCATACCAATACCACTGAATTAGTTCAGGAAAGGAGAATTCATTTAGCTGTGTATTCAATTTTAATGAATACATGCAGTACAGACAACTGAATTTTGATTAATAACAAAATATGAATCGGAGGAATGCAATGTGACCAACTTTCTGAAAATGAACTATCTCCTTGCTTGCCTCAGTTATCTCAAAGTCTGTGTATAGGGTTAGTCTCAAAAATACATTAATATCCTTCCCCTGCTGGTGCCATGGAAAGCATTAAATACTTAAACACAAAACCAGCCCTAAACTACAGGTTTGTTTTCATACAGACGTGCATAAATGTATTCCCATTCTGCATGCACAGGTGACAACAGTCATGCAACTGTTAAGTATGACAGAGCTCCCAGTTCAAATGACTGATGAGAAAATTAAGCCTTTCAAATTGTAAAGAGGGAAACAACTCAAACATAAGTTACTTCATTAAAAAATAATAATTATGATCTTCCAGACTTTAGTCCCATAAAGGAAAACATATAACCTATTCCACTGACATCAAACTTACTTTCAAAGGACAAACAGAACCCCAAACACACCCCACCTCAAACACTAGTTTCCCTTCAAGGATACAAAGGAGGCATCTAAGAGCCCTTATTCTGGCAAAGCTCAGGACACCAATACATAAAGAGTAATACAATTTTCTCTTTAAAAATATCAGCAATGCTATTTTTAGAAAATTTACTAAGCTGCCTGCTTAAAAAGAAAAAACAGCACCAGTTACATGACTTGCAAGTTAAATTCCAGGCTTCTTACCAGTGCCACCAGTTGGGTCATCAATGTAAATTTGTGTTTTCTTTAAAAAGCTATAAATGCTAAACAGACATCACAGTTTCAAAATCCACTTTTAAGCAACTTCTAGTATTTAGGAACTTGTAAACCTTAGAATAAGAGAAATAATGGCAAAGAGCCAAAGAGTGAAATATGCTTACAGCTGAAGCCAACTGCTCCTCTGTCATGTCTTCTACAAAGACAGGTCGAGCAATTGGCTCTTCCGGAAGCGCATCTGCAGAACCCATCATTAATAAGGTCATCCCCTTGAAGCACAGTAAAAATAGTAATAAATAGTTAAGGGCAGTTATTTCTCCTTTAAAATAAATAAATAAAATCATTAAGCTCTTGATAGATTTCAGTTATTTCCCCAAAAATAAACACAATCTTTCTCTCAGTTCACAGAACTGATACTGTGCTGTTGTTTCTTAGGATATACCTTAACTTTCACATTATCTAGAAAGTACTTCTCAAGAACAAATCCACAGCATCATCCATGCTAGACATTTCCACTGAGCCTGGTGAGCTTGACACCAGCTCAGCGACATAAGATTCCAACTGGGACTAAATTTAACATTCACTGAATACCCCAATATGAAGCATTCAGAAAAGCTCCCTTTCTGACAGACCACTAGGGATCAGGCATCTTCAACACTGCAGTGCAAATACTCCTCTTTCCCTTAAGTCTTAGCAAGTACCTCAGAACCCAGGATAACTGAGCAGCTCAATTCTGATTTGAAAAAAACTGCAACGTTTGAGTTTCTCAAATTCAGAATTCTCTAAACAACAACAAAAACATCCCTCATCTTTAGCCTAGAATCTAGGGAAACCCTTCAGACAGATGTGGGTAATAATGACCATAGCTGAATTTGGAATTGTTTCCTTCACAAGAAAAGTGGGAAACAGAAGTGCCATCCTTTGTGTGGCAAATTCCAAGATCATTAAACTAACTGAAAAGTGAACAATAATCAAAATGACCCCATCAGTTTAGGCACAAGGACTGACATTCAAGAAGTGGGGGTAGGAAGCAATCAAGTTACCATGCTTGCTGGACTAGCATAAGGAAAAGGAGTTTTACAGCATTCCACAGGAGTCCATCTACACGGTAAGTTCTATCAAAGGGGAAGAAAATGGCTATCTAGGGCCTTGAAAAAATACAATGCTAAGGAAAAGAAAGACCAACATAATGGAAAGAAACCGCTTTGACAATGTAAATAACCCCCTAGAACTTGTATATAATATCATCAAAATTAATAAAGGCAATTATTAGAGTAACAGTATGCATTAAAGGACAAAAATATTATGTACCAGGGATTTTACTGAATGACTTTGCTACAACAGCTGTAGCTATAAGCAGCTAACAGATGCTTGCAAACTAATTACAAGGGTAACAGTGGCACTAATTCAATCTGCTCAGTGAAGAACTGGAGTAAAACCTGAACGAAACAGATGTTACAAGGTATCTACAGAAATGAAACTGCAAAAAAAACCCAAACAAAAATCTCTGGGATTCCCCGTTACAATATTATATAGCTAAGAAACACAAATACATTCACTTTTTGTTTTCTTTTTGAACTAGTCAAATAAATAACCATTACTAACAGCTTTGTTTTTAATCAGCAGCAATTTAGTCCAGGACAAATTTCAGCACATAGATAAGAAATAAACAGGCTGAGCTTTAATTTCAGTGCTTGTAATGCCACGATTTTCTATGTTGGGTACATACAAGCACAATGGACTACAGGCAGTGGCCAGGTTCACAACCTCTCTCTAAATAACACCACTTATTACTATGGTCACAGACAAGACAGAAGGACCATTGGTCCGACCCATAACATTTCTTGTAAGAAATCTATGCTTCAAAGGACTTCAGAAAGCTGACAATTTCCCTACAGAAGCCAAAAGGTTTTTCACAAATCACTGGTGAGAACTACATAAGAATGCTTACGTATGACGCCTGTAAAATTATTTTTCATCAAGGTCTGATTTTCAGGAAAGAGCTACCGACTGAAACAGAAACAGCAGAACTTTTACATTTTTCTTTAGATGTGAGAAAAACGAGTAAAATTTAGTTATTCCCCAGAACTTACATTCTTTATTTTTAGGTTCCCCCAGTCATCATCCTGTTTTTGAAATAAAAGACAAGTTAATTATCTTACAGTAAAAGACAAGTAAGTATCTTCATAAATATTAATAATGTATTTCCAAATACACAACTGTTTCATTGAAGATTTCACAATATTAACTATTTACATCAAGTCTTGTCTGACTAAAATAGAAAGCAGCCAAGTCATCTTCTAATAAGGTTTTAATTTGTTGTTCAACACTGCTTAGATAGAAGCAACTTTTTGTAGAAAATCTGCCCATACTGCACTATACCAGTAAGTTTCTGGCAAAGAAGTGCCAGAGAAACTTTTCTCGAGCTAAAAAGCAAAAAGTTGCATTCAGATTCTGAATGTTTAGAAGGAGCATTAAAAAAAAAAAGCAAACAAAAAAAAAACAAAACCAACCAAACAAACAAAAAAAAACCAAACCACAAAGCAGAGTAGGTTTTGGTATAAAAGAGTGGAGAAGTGTTTTAAAACAGCAGTGTACCTCCCAACCATCTAGCAGCACTTTTTCAGGATTTTCTAGTAGTAGGCAACAAATCATACAGAATTATTTCTGAAAAGTGTAGTCAGTTTAATACATGCAATGAAAGATCTTCTGGAGGAATACTTAAAAATACGGTCATTGATCATGACATTGTAACATTAAATAAAGTTAGAAATAATATTAAAACCAAACATGGGTTTCTACCTTCAGAGTTCCTCCTTTAACCATAACCTTCTGTCTGGCTGGCTGAACTCCAGTCAGTGCAAACAACTGGGCTTTGAAGACCATTGGAGGTTCATCAGTGTTAAGCTCCACACCATCGAATTTCTCTTTTCCCCATTTCACATTAACTGCAAAAAAAATGTTTTGAAACTAGATTATTTCTCAATACACAAGAATGTTATTACCAAGATCAACCCACTGTTTCAAATTCCAGCATTTATACCATCTCAGAACATTCAGCTTTCAACTCTAAAACTTGTCAACCAAGCTAAGGGACACCTTGCTCAGCCATCAGAACATATTACTTCCAACATGTCTAAAAATGTCCTACAAAACAATTGTATGCAATATATATAAGCTGAGAAATTTTCCAAGCAATAAATGTGTATAACAGCCCCAGAAATCCTTTAGGCAAGTCTTCTGAAAAGCAGTTTGAAACTAACTCTCCCAGTTTCTTGGTACTGTTTACTGTAAACAACTGAACTTTCTGAAGGAAGTTCAGATGTGAGATTCCAGCTCAGTTTTCCATAGCGTTTCCGTTCCTGTTCAATGGAAAACAATACCATGTTCCTTAATAGCAAAGCTACTGTTTGACAGACATAGCTTTGGCTACCAGTATCATTCATGTGGAGCTACATGAAAAGGCAAGTGTGCATCAAGACACAACCTATGCAATAGCACACCAATGGACAGTTCACCTCAGAGTGACATCCATGATGCCACCACTGCAACCCTCCTCAGTTTTGACAGTGTTCACATAACCAGCTGCAGATACAGAGGACCTGACCCCAGTAAAGGTGGAATTAAGTAGTAAAGCGAAATACGGTCTGAAAACTGCAATTCTTGACACTGGAAATGGGATCATCAGCAGGAACATTAGGCAGAACAACAGAGGGCACGTTAACTTCCCTTTAGTAAAGCTTGTACTAATCAAGATCAGGCACAAATGCTGGAACAAACTGTGCTTCCAAAGAATGGCTACACATCTTTGATCACTTCCAACCACTATCACAGGTATATAAGGCTACTTCAGCAAGCTGCGGTTTTGGTGAAAATTTGCGATACATAGCACACAGTAATATCCTATGTGCACGGTAAGGGGCAGAAATATCATACTTTAAGAAAGTCTTAGCTTTCCTTCCACCTGTGCTTTGATTCTACATCAATATATTCAGCAACTCTAGTTTTTTTTCCATCACAAACCTCTTAAAAATTGTGATTTTAAAAAGTCTTCCGAGAAGGTTCAGATTTCAGATGCATGCAGTGCTTGTAATGGGTTATAAAACAGAAAAACCAAAATTTGGTCTAAATTAGATTACAAAGCATGTCAAACAACTGGCTTTTCAGTATTTCTAGCAGAAAGTACCTTCTGATTTGCCCAACCTCTTTTTTTTTTTAAACAGATCTATTAACAGTTGCACTTGATCTTAAAGGTCTTTTCAAACTTAACTGATTCTATGATTTTGTATACCATACTTAGTACCAAGCACAAGTACTTTCAGGAAGACAACCCACTCAGTCACAGCTTTTTGAGTTTTGCATTTCTGAAGTCATGCATTCAGCACCTAATATGCAGAAGGGTTAGCAATTATTACTAAAGACTTGTAGTGTCACTGGTTTTGACAACCTGGCACTCAAGAGGAGGAAACTTAAGAAGATGAGCATCTTCAGAGATCACAAACAAAGAAAATTGTTAATCTGAAAATAATGGAGATTTAAAAAAGGGAAGAACATATCTGCCCTGTGAACAGATAACACAGATTGTACAGATGTGCTAGAGTTCAGAAAAAGTCCTGTTATATGGACATGAGAATTCCAGTTTGCCAACCACAATTAAAACAATGGAGAAAATGGGATGTGACTGTGTACTGAGGCCTTCTACAACCTGTTCCTCGTGTACTGAAAAGCCCCAGGAGGCCAGACCTGTTAAGCATAAATAAAGCAGTAACTGGTCTTGGATATGTCACTGGAGGTTTTACTCTCGCAGTCCTCACTAGAAACTTTCCTTCATGACAAGGAGGGGAGTAAGATACTCTAATTTTAACTAGGAAATAGTGGATTTAAAAGAGAAGAGGCTGATGCACCTGCATACATTTGGAAGCGTGGATGCAAAACTGCGTCTCACCTGACAGACAGCACCACTTCACTCGGCGCAAAACAAAACCAACCCAAGACGCACGATCGCACACGATTCGCGTTTGACACCCGGGCCCTCCCGGACATCAACAGCGCTCCTTCCTCGACCCAGCCGAGCAGAGCCGACCCGACACTTCCCCCACAGCTCGGCGGGCCGGGCCGGGCCGGGCCGGGCCGCGCCGCATGTCCCGGGGCACTCCCGGCGCCCGGGCCTCGGACACGTGCGAGTACCGGCGGCCGGACAGCGGGGCCGCCGGAGGAGCCTCCCCACGTGAGGGAGCGGCGGGAAGGGCCCGGCCGGGGGCTGCAGAGCCACCGAGGAGAGCTCGTCGCTGAGGTAACAGCCCCGCGGCCGCGGGGAATGCCCTCCCCTTCAGCCCCACGCTGAGGACAGCCCCACTCCGGGCTGGGCCGGGCGGGCGCCAAGGCCAAGTAGCTCACCTGAGAAGAGCGGCATGGCGGAGAGGGCGGGCGGCACGCCGTGTCCTGGGAGGGCGCGGTTGACGGCGGGGAAGCGAAAGGGCGGCAGGCAGCAGCGTTAGCAGGGAGGGCGATAGCAGCCCCAAGTCCGTCGCGTCGCTGCCTGCCTCCCTCCCTCGGGGTCTCATTCAAACCGGCCCCTCAGGATGACGCTGCAAGCGGGGCCGCTCTCCGGAAGCGGGGCGGGCTGCGCGCGCAGCGCCGGAAGGGCGCGGCGCGGTGAGGCGGGGCCGTTAACGGCTGCCTGGTGGCTGAGGCGGGTGGTAGCGATCGCTGTGTTTCCAGGCGCGCTGCTCTTCGCACCGCAGGGAAGCTGCTCGGGCTGTCCGCGGAGAGCGGGGATTTATTGCGGGGAAGCACCACATTGGAAGGCGTGACTCGTGTCGGACTTCCCTCGTTAGAGACCTGTAGAACTGTACTTATACCGAGTAGCTCGCCCGGTGCTGGGTGTGATTAAACCACTTGCGCGCAAACCGGGCGTGGAGCCAGCGCGTACGATCTCTGGGTTAGAGTCTGGGAAGAGCCCGGCCACCGGAGTGGGCGGAAAGCGGTGTTGGTGCAACAGGCGGGGAGCGGCGGTGTGAGGGCGAGGCGGCGGAGGGCTGAGGTGGGTTTGTAGGCGTGCTGGTTGTTTGCCCAAAGGGAGAGTGGAGGAAGGGTCTGTTGCGGGTTATAGGAAAATGTGGGGTGATATATAAACTTGGAAGAATTCTAGTAAGGGGAGAGGGGATGCCGAATCTGCCAGCAACTATTTTAACAGATCAGGAGTCCTTGAAGGGTAATGGAAATGGCCAGGACAATAAAAAGCAGTTATAAAGATGCTAAGAGCAGTAGACATGAATACATGAGTCTCAAGTGCTTCTATCAAAAGTGTTGGTATTAGGCTGCGATTTAAGCACTGCTTTAGCTTCTTTAACGTGAAAAGGAAGAGAATGCCGGAAGAAATATCCCGTCCTCAACACCCGTCCTAGCTACCACCCCTAGAAAACAAACACTGTTACCTTCAGCTCGTCTGGCTGCTGCAGCTGCAAGAGCTTCTCCCGCAGCTGCTGCTGCTGGTTGGCTCTTTGTATTTGCATGTCTGTCCCTGCTTTTGCCATAGAAGTTGTACCCAAAACAAGCAGGATCTTTGCTAGATAAACATGCAGTTTACCCAGTGTGATTTCTAGTTCCAAACAGTTGATGGGTTTAGAAATTTCAATCTTTTCAGTTTGTCATGGAGAAGAACAAAAGTTGATTTTATTGTCCAGTATAGGCTCCTAGATGGGAAAAGGAAGTTTTGGGAAACAAGGATTACATTTTACAGAGAAACTCTGATGGGTGGTATGCTGAAATGAAGCTGGTCTTGAATTAAGAAGTGTTTCCAGTTGCGAAGGCAATTAAGGTGGTGGTAAAGTTTGTCAGCCAAGGATGATGACTCTTCTGTTATTGTGACTTGCATAAAGGAGTCTTTTGAAAAGTTCCAATACAGTTCCAGGGTGAGATCCTGCAGAGCATCTACTCGAGAGCAGAGCCCAGCTCTCTGCCTGAGTCTTAAGTGCAGAGTGTCTCTCTCTCCTGTCTAGCCATTTGTTCTTCATACCAGCAGTGACTACTATAGAGGTCATTTATTCGTGGCTGCTGTATGAAAATTGAATGCTCTACAGGCTGAAACTGTGCTGAAAACATTCTCTCTTATAGAGCAACCCTTAAAGGATAAGGTCTTGGGCAATCGCCGACCGGCGTTTCCAGGATTTGTGAAAGGCACTAGAGGGAGCCGCGCTGAAAGAGAAGCGTCGGGGGTTGTATCTGGAGGAAAACCCTTCAGGACCTCCACAAGGTGAAGAACCACCACCTCCCTATTCTCTCTGAGATCGCTTAGGCCTCTTCCTGCTGTGACGACTTGGTGATTTTTGCGTTGAGGAAGGGATCAGTGGATTCCTGGAATCTTACACAAACTGACATTGGGAGTATAGAGACAAAGAGTGCAACCTGATACATAAATATCATAGAGACATAGAATCATAGGTTAGGGTCAGAAAAGACCTTAAGATCATCTAGTTCCAACCCCCCTGCCGTGGGCAGGGACACCTCACACTAAACCAAGTCACCCAAAGCTCTGTCCAACCTGGCCTTGAACACCACCAGGAATGGAGCATTCACAGCTTCCCTTGGGCAACCCAGTCCAGTGCCTCACCACCCTTACAGTAAAGGACTTCTTATATCCAATCTAAAAATATGATGTACAGATTACCTTGACAGCAATAGAATTGTGAGGAAGCCTTGAACATTAATTGTGTCTTTTTTGATTAGTGAAAAGGAGCCCCAGGCTGGGTTGCAGGGCCATGGGGACAGCCAAGCTGCCTGCCCTGGCTGGGTCTCTGTGACCTTATGCAGGGCCATCTGAGCACGGCTGCTTCTCATCCCAAGCTGGCTGGAGGCAAACTAGCTTGGATCCAAAGACTGGGGCTGTGTCCATACCACAACACTGCATGCAGGATAATAGCCCTGGCAGGATTTATTAATGCTGGAAGATGGGTCACAGCAAGTCCAGAGCTGTTTATAGAGGGCTTTTACTGTAGGAAATCTCTCACGGCTCAGTTCTGGGGAGCACAAGTAGTAGGTGTACCCTCAGACAGTACAGCAGGAGCTGCCACTCCATGAAAGGTGCAGGGAAACAAGGCAGGCCTGTTGCAAAGCATGCCCTAGGCACCTCTGTGATGCCCGTGACAGAACGAAGGTGGTAGTCTTCTTTTTAAATAATCAGAGTCTCAGGAACTAAAATACTCCATTTACATGTCTAGTTCCTTTAAAAGGGAAGCTGTGTCATCCAGTATATTGACACATAAATTTATTGACACATACATGCATTTATTAAAATGTATCTTATTTTCTACAGGAAACACAATGTTCTTGAGAACCTTTCTATGTAGCTTCAGGCTCTAAACCTTTTTATGTGTGTATTCACAACAGACAGGATCAAGTCACATCATCAACTCCTGTCTTACAGATAGCTGCCATGCCTATTAAACTCTTTCAAGTGCTTTAGGTATGATTTTTCAGTATCTGATGCACTATGGTGCTTTACATGTTTAAATAAAAGTTCTTTTTTATGGTAAGCATTCCACTACCCTGCACTGCAAACCTTCACTGTCTCCAAATGAGCACCTGGCAAATGAGAAACAGAAACAAGATACTTGAACACAACTCTGATGTGCACGATCTTCCCAGCACCACACAGGGCGAAGCGAGGCCTGAATGGAGATTACCACAACTGCCCCAAGGGCCAGCTTTGGGCCCTGAGCTATGGCACAGCATGCTGCTCCAAGCCTGGAAGCCGCTGCTGTGTTTGATCCCTATCTCACAGCAAGTACAAACTGAGAAATAGTGTCAATAGGGTGTGACTTCTAATAATAGATGATACAGAAAATGGCAGGGTAAAGAAAAACAGCAATCCAGCTGTTTAAAAGTCACATATACAGTACAGTATCCCCCATTTTGGTGTTACTTGTCCAATTTCAGCAGGTTTCAAACTTTTTGCATTCTGGGTTACTGTGAATGTACAGCTGGTGGAAAGAAAAAGAATAATAGAATGATTGGGATGAAAGGGACCTTAAAGATCATCTAGTGCAAACTCCCCTACCATAAGCAGGGACACCTTCCATTAGACTGAGTTGCCCTGTCCCAGCCTGGCCTTTAACACTTCCAGGGATGGGGCAGCCACAGCTTCTCAGGGGAAACTGTTCCAAACCAAATCCCCCTTTGTGGTTCTTTGTTTGTAACTAGTATATAAAGAATTTCCAGTACAGTTCACCAGTTCAGAGGGAAGCTCAGCATCTGCTGTTCCTTCCCTCACTGCATGAGCCCTGACTTGCTTCTGGGTCCAGCATTGGTGGCTGCTGCTGAATCCCACTTGTGGGAGAGGCTACATCCTTTTTTCATTATCCAGGCTGTTTTGCTACAGCTAACTACTCTTATCTTTTCCTATTTCCTTCAGCAGGAATAGGGGGGCTTGAAGAGGGAATGAAAGAGAGCAGATTCGGGCATTCTACCACCATTAATGAACTTTTAACCTAATACAGGAATCAAAAATGGAAAAAAAGGTGGAGGCAAGTCACCAAAAAATGATCATGTAAGAATTTGGACTCCTGAATTTCTCAGCCAGCTTCACCAGCATGACGGAAGCCAGGCTGATTTATACTTAGCTTTTCATAGCTGATACACTGACGTCTCTTGATAACCTTCTGGCACTGTATTAGGTGAGAGTAGGCAGAATGTTCCTGTGAGAGGAATTGTTACTGACAAGGGTAAAAGCTAAGCAAAATATGAAGGCAAGAGCCAGAAAAAGTGGAGCTGCAATGAACATAACAGCACACTGATTATTTTTTTCTGAATGGTAAAGCTGATGCTTGCTAAAATAATCCCCCCCCCCCCCATCTGTTTACACAGTTAAATATCTAATTCAGAAAGTCAGGTATTTCCCTGATAGAATAGCTATTCCTGTAGATAGGCACCTTACTTACAGTAAACAAGTGCCAACATCAGCCTACCGGAACACATAAACTGTAATTTGCATGTCTAGACTTTATTATTACAGCATTTTAGTTGCAAGTTATCCCAGACATGCAAGTCAATGTAATTTTACACTTCATTATGTCTTTTTTCCCAAGCAAAATCAGCATTTAAAAAGAATTGCAGAATTTCAGCAGCGCTAAAAAGCTATGGAAATGACAGTGTGTGCCAATCTGCACAGTAAACCCATTTTTTCCAAAGTCCTTCTCTCTTCCCACTATCCATAATCTATTCAGAAGTTTTTATGCTATTTTTGAGACTTATAAAATATGGAACTATAAGATAGGACTTTCTTTCTTTTTTGTTTAAGAAATTATTCAAGCAAGAGTGTGTTTGCATTTAAGAGGTAGCCAGTTACCCAAAGAGGAAAGCTGAAAAACAATCCAAAACTTAGGCTGCATCTAGAGAATGACCTGACTATAGGCCTTTTCTACTGCTCTAAATTTCCTACAGTAATGTATGTATTTAAGTAATAAAGTTCTATAATCATCTTACTATGTTATTTTCCCTCTGGCTATGTGA